AGAGCACATGAACTCAAGCTTTTGTCTGTTTGTCAGTTTCAGCGCAGCATACATGAAATGACAGATCAGACTACAGAAACCAGCTCCGACCATGGTAAAAGTGGATCTAGACAGTCAGAAACGTGTGTTTTGTGGTCAACTGTATCTGAAATGTTTTCTAATTGTTTACAGAAGACTCTGAGGAGGAGAATGAAGATCCAGAGATGAGGAAGGCCATCAGGAAGATGAAGAAGCTGGACCGGATTCTGGCTCACAAGGTGTCAGCAGAGAGAGAGGTGAAGCAGAAGGGCAGAGAGTTACACCAGAGACTGTGGCAGGAGCTTCAGGTGAGACACACACACACACACACACACACACACACACACACACACACACACACACACACACACACACACACGTCTTCATTCTGCTGATGTTCTCCACAGGCTGAGAGTCTCCACATCAGCAGCACCGAGGCTGAAAACACCAGACGCTTTTTGTCTCTGACGCCCAGTGACTGTGAGTCTGCAGATCTGATCACACACACTCATCACTCACACACACCATTGATCAGGAGGAGCAGAATGAAGTTATTGATGAGCAGATGCATCTCTCTGCAGGTCTGGAGTGTGATGAAGAGGATGTGTTTGTGCCGGTGTTTGAGACTGAGGTTGTAGATCTGAAGACTGAAGTAAACTCCAGACCCGAGCCGGAAGGTAAAAGAGTAAAACACTGGTGTAAAACTATTCTCAGCCTCACTGGATTCTCATTACTGATGCTCATGCACTTTTGTTAATTAAAGGAAAGTAAATCTGGGGTGTAGTTTACAAAACCACTTCAGGAACAGGGTTATAAAAGTAACTAAACTGAAATCATATACTGAAACATACCTGACCCTTTGCTAAGCCCCGCCCTCCTTAGTTACTGTTGCTACAACTGTCTAGCCTTCCTGCCTGGCACGTCTTTCACAATGTGTATGCGCCGGTGTCAGACATTGCCTGGATAATTTGTCAGTTCTGGTGAACAGGCGAGATATCTGAGAAAGCCAGACTAAAGGACTGCAGTATGCATTACAGGGATATATTCACCACATAATAGGCAACCCATTAGAGAATAACTTAATCAAAATTGAAGCTAGGTTAGCCTAGCCGCCCCATACGCTAACCATTCAACAGCTTAGCTCATGCACAGCAGGAGAGGGGACATTTACAAATAATCTAATAATAACTGGTTAAACTGTGATTTCTCTATTTCAGCCAAAAAGCCTGATAGATTAATGTTGTGCAATGAAATATAGTGTTACTAACCGTTCAGGAAACACGCATGGACAGTGCTTCTACATTATTCATTTTCAAATATTCATAGCTTGAAACTGGAAATATGACTGCTATTAGTTTGACTACTATGGCGAGCGCTAAACGGAGCAGTGCTCATAAAATCAAGCAGAAAGAAAAAGACAGCTGTGAAGCAGAACCTGCGCTGTATTTTTGTAGGAAACACAGTTTAGATCTGTTTAGGGTAAGAGGTGTGTGAGTTATTGCCGTCTGTTTATAACTGAATGTGTCAGAAATATCAAAACAAATCCAACTTATCTCCGCCCCCTACAGAGCTTGATCCATGCTGGCATTTCTCCTCCTGGGTTTTACCTTTTGAAAAGGGAAAAAATTCCACCATCCCATCCAAACTTTAAGGATACCGAGTATCAGATTTCCACAATCCATATGCACAGCGCTCTGGCCTGTTTCCCTCACTCGAAAGCTTGACAGAGCTCCTGCGTGTAGCTACGGTAGCTGAGCCACGATTAATTGGTGGGTTTTTTTTGGGTGTGGCTTAGCAAATTATTATTATTTGGTAATTAAACTTGAAATTAAATAAAAGAATATTGAGCATGTGTTAAGATAATCAGAACTAAAAAAAAAAAATATATATATATATATATATATATATATATATATATATATATATATATATATATATATATATATATATATATTGTTATAAAAAACAGACTGATATTTATATTTTTTTAAAAAAAGATAATAAATATATAAATATATATAAATATTTATTTTTGAGGATTCTTTATTTATTTTACATGTCAAAATAATATATAGCGAGGCAGCACAGTGGCGCAGTGAGTAGTACAATTGAGTCCCAATTCGAGTCCCGGCTGAATCAGTTGGTGTTTCTGTGTGGAGTTTGCATGTTCTCCCCGTGTTGGCGACCCCAGATTAATAAAGGGACTAAGCTGAAAAGAAAATGAATGAATGAATAATATTTAGTTTTAATAAACAAAATTAGACCTGTTACAGTTTATTTGCATTGCTGAGGTTTTGATAACCATCAAGTAAATTTTTCTATAATGTCCAATTACTTTA